AAGAAAGATCACCCCGACTACAAGTACCAGCCCCGGCGGAGGAAGTCGGTGAAGAACGGCCAGAGCGAATCTGAAGACGGCAGCGAACAGACCCACATCTCGCCCAACGCCATCTTCAAAGCGCTCCAGCAGGCGGACTCGCCCGCGTCCAGCATGGGAGAAGTGCACTCGCCCAGCGAACACTCAGGTGGGACACTAAACTTGACTCGCCATTCGATTCGATTACTTGTTTTGAGTGTATATTGCGTCATCTGAGCAATGCTGGGTTCTTAAAATGCTTGCATGCAATCTGGAAATTAGATTCGATTACTCGTTTCGATTGTGTGTGTGTGCGTGTGTGTGTGTGTGTGTGTTTGTGTGTATTGCGTCATCTGTGCAATGCTGGGTTCTATAAATTGCATGTATGCAATCTGGATTACGTAATCGAACTTTCAAAAAGTTACTATATTAAGTATAATCCGTTACTTTTATTTACTGCATGACTACATCACATGTATGTTAGTAAATTATAAGTGTAAAAAACGTGTAAGATAATTTTTACTCACAAATAAGGTTGGTTCACCTGTAATCAAAAGATGATTTGTGTTTCGTACAAAAATGCACTTTAAACGCATTTAAATGCACGAAACCTCATCTAACTTTTGTAACACACAGTTTAAACTCCACACAACTCCTTCATGTTGTCCCAACACAAATCGATTAAGTTAACTTAATTGTTTTTACACTATTTTAAGTACACCGTAAGAAAAAAACAAAGCTGACTCAACTTAAAAATCAAGACAACAAACATCAGGACATTTGAGTTTACTCAACTTTCTACCCAATTACTGCACTTGACTCTATAAGTTAAATAAACCCAAAAATGTCCTGAAGTTTGTTGCCTTAAAATTTTAAGTTGAGTCAACTTACTTTTTTACAGTGTAGATTAAATATAACTAAGTTGTCCCCCCCCCAAAAAAAAAACATCAGAAGTGTGTTGTTTAAACTCAATTTAAATAAGTAATTTGAACACTTTCATTCGGTTTGTACATTAGTCATCAAGCTGAGGCTTTTGACTAAAGCGACTTATTGAGGAGGCATTCAGTGATTCAACAGGAGGCAATACACACAAGTGCTAGTTATACAAAGTAACTTGTTAGTGCTCAGATCATTTAGATTTTCCATCAGTACAGCTTAAGATTGTCCTAGCCAAATGAGTCTTAAAGCAATTTAAAAGCAGTCTGGTGGTTAAAAGTGCAACATACTAGCTTGCAGCCATACAGTTTGTATTCACATACCAAAAAAAAAGGATTAATTGTATTTACTAATACATTTTTAAAGGTAAGTGGTTGTAAAATATTTACATGGGCTGATTTTAAACAAATGAAGTTGACCATTTGTTGAAATTCAGCCCTTATCAATAGTTTGCAAACACTTACCTTTAAAAAAAAAAAAAAAAGTAAATCTAATGAAATCTTTTTAGTGCAACAGCAGTGTGCAAGTAATCTCCCCATGCAGCGCTGATCATCCATGCAGTGCTTAACGTTTCTCTCTCCCCTCCTCCTCTTCTTCTGCTTCCAAACAGGCCAGTCCCAGGGGCCGCCCACTCCTCCCACCACCCCGAAAACTGACACACAGCCAGGCAAAGCGGATCTGAAACGAGAGGCCCGTCCTCTTCAGGAAAACACCGGACGTCCGCTCAGCATCAACTTCCAGGACGTGGATATCGGCGAGCTGAGCAGCGATGTTATCGAAACATTCGACGTCAATGAGTTTGACCAATACCTCCCGCCGAACGGTCACCAGAACGCACCCTACGCTGGAGGATACGCCGCCTGGATGACCAAACCCCAAAACGGCAGCCCTCAAAGCAGCCAGCTGACCCCGCTGAACCCCGCAGAACCCGACCAGCCCCGAACGACGCATATTAAAACCGAACAGCTCAGCCCGAGCCATTACAACGAGCAGCAGGGCTCTCCGCAGCACATCAGCTACGGTTCCTTCAACGTTCAGCATCTCCAGCATTACAGCACTTCATTTCCCTCCATCACCAGAGCGCAGTACGACTATTCCGACAGCCACCAGGGCGGCGCCAGCTCCTATTACACCCATGCCGGAGGTCAGAGCTCCGGGCTGTACTCCACCTTCAGCTACATGAGCTCAAGCCAGAGGCCCATGTACACACCCATTGCTGACTCTACAGGGGTGCCCTCCATCCCTCAATCCAACCACAGTCCGCAGCATTGGGACCAGCAGCCGGTGTACACGCAGCTGTCCAGACCATGAGCACGTCTGAATGTGCACTGAAAAATCATGATGCATTGGGTTTACTACATTTTTACTACAAGTTTAGTGGTTGCAAAGAATTTTTATGGGTTGAATTTAAACAGAAATTAAGTTTAGTAATGTTCTACTTAATTTGCATGCCCATATGAGTCGTTTTGGAACCACTTACCTTAAACAAAATGCAGTAAATCTAATAAATAATGTTCGTTCAGTGCATGATGGGAAAGACTCAAACACAGCATTCCACTCGCTCTCCTTAAAGGGATAGTTCACCCACAGATTCATGTCTTTATTGTTCTGTCGAACACAAAATAAGTTAATCTGAAGATTTTTTTGAAATCGGTAACCATAGTACACTAAAAAATATATATGTATTCATTGTATTTACCTCATTTTTACTACAAGGTAAGTGGTTGCAAACTATATGGGCGTTCAAATGAAGTTGTGCACTGCTAAATTTAATTTGCTTGTTTAAATTCAGCCTATATAAAATGTTTGCATCCACTTACCTTGAATTAGTAAATCCGATGAACCTATTTTTTCAGTGTACTATGCAAGTCAATGGTTACCAGTTTCAACAATTCTTTAGATTAACTTATTTTGTTCAGATGTATGATGGGAAAGACTCGATCACAGCATTCCACTCGCTTCCCCTTAAAGGGATAGTTCACACACAAATCTAAATTTGCTCACTATTTACTCCAAATCGGAGTTCTGTTAAACACAGAAAAAGTGAATCTGATGATTTGTTTGTAAGTGGTAACCATTGACATGCATAGTACACTGAAAAAATGATTGAATCAACGGATTTACTTGTTGTTTTAAGGTAAGTGAATGTAAATAGTTTTATATGGGCTGCATTTAAACAAACTAATTAAATTCAGTAATGTTCAACTTCTTTGTTTGATTAAATTCAGCGCATATAAATAGTTTGCACTCATTTACCTTAAGAGTAAATCCAATGATTTTTTATTTTTTCAGTGTACTATGCAAGTCAATGGTTACCGGTTTCAGCAATTCTTTAGATTATCTTATTTTGTTCAGTGCATGATGGGAAAACTCAATCACAGCATTCCACTCGCTCCCCTTAAAGGGATAGTTCACACACAAATCCAAATTTGCTCTTTGTTTACTCCAAAATATAAGTTAATCTGATGAATTTTTGAAACCGGTAACCATTGGCTTGCATGGTACACTGAAAAAACATGATTCATTGGATTTTTTTAAGGTAGTGGTTGCATAGAATTGATATGGCTGAACATAAACAAATTAATATATTAAGTAACGTTCAACTTTATTTGGTTGCTTAAATTCAGCACATATAAATTGCTTGCAACTGTTTACCTTAAATTAGTAAGTCCAATAAATCTTTTTTTCAAAACATGAAGGAAAAGACTCAAACATATCACTCCACTTCCCTTAAAGAGATAGTTCACACACAATTTCAAATTTACTCACTATTTACTCAAAATTTGTGTTCTGCTGAACACAAAATAAGTTAGTCTGATGATTTTTTTGAAACCGGTAACCATTGACTTGCATACTACACTGTAAAGACATGATTCATTGGATTTACTCAAATATTTTTAGGGTAAGTGGTTGCAAACAATTGATATGGGTTGAATTTATACAAAGAAATTAAATTTAGTGATTTAAAAACTTAATTTGTTTGCTTAAATTCAGCACACGTTTGCAACCACTTACCTAAAATTAGTAAATCCAATGAACCTTTTTTTTTTTCAGTGGATGATGGGACTCCACTTGCGCCCCTTAAAGGGACAATTCACACACAAATCCAAATTTGCTCACTATTTACTCAGTGGTTCCACATTTGAGTTTTTCTTATCACAAAATAAGTGAATCTGAAGAGTTTTTGAAACTGGTAACCATTGGTTTGCATATTACACTGAGTTTACAATTTTATTTAAGGTAAATAAATAAAACATATTGGACATTATACATTTAATATTGGATTTACTGCATTTCTTTGAGGTGTTTCTAAACAATTGATATGTGCTGAATTTAAACAAACTAATTACATTTAGTAATGTTCAACTTAACTTTGCTTAAATTCAGAGCATATAAACGGCTTAAAGAAATGCAGTAAATCCAATATACATACATATTCAATGTAGGAAAAACAAATGGAAGGCAATGGTTACCGGTTTTCAGTTTTTCTTCTGTGTTCAAACTCCAACATCCAACAAATGAACGATGGGTAAACCATGACAGAATTGTCACTTTTGGGTGAACTATCTTCTTTAGAAAAAACACACACACTTGAATGAAATCTCCACACACAATGTCGAAAACTAGAAACGTAGGAAGGAAAGCTGGACTTTGATGGAAGACTTTTGCTTTGTTTTCTTAAAATGGCTCCCGACGTGCCTTTTTAATCGCCTGAATTGTGATTAGAATATATCTATAAATATATATTTTTAGCCTTGATTGCAAGAAAAGAAACATTTTTTTGAAGAAATGATTCCTCTGTGAGGACTTATCGATTATTGAAACTTTAATATGTACTGTGTATGTTTCTTTTTTTGTTTTGTATCTTCCGACTTTCGTGTTTTCTTGTAGAGAAGTCTATTTTTACTAAACCACTCTCGGTAGTTTTTCCTCCACTCTCGTGTTTTCCGACCCTCATGCAGTGCATTTTTTTTTATATATTTGATAGTTCTTTATTTATGTTCCTGTAAAATAGCAACTGTTTGACCAGCTCACATCTTTATCCCCTGTCAAATGTTGGAAGTGAATTAGCGGGAAAAGCTACGTGGCAGCGGCAGCTGAGAATTTACCAGCATGTGTCGCGGCTCACAGGAAATAACCTTTGACCTGCGCTTGTCATTGGCCGCCTGCAGTCATGCAAGGTGTCGTCTTACAGCACCCTCTGCCATCCTAACCCCTTTAATTTATTTATTAGTATTAATTTTATTTCAAAAGAAATTATTTGCATTTTATTCTTTAATACTTTATACAAACAAAAAAAAATGTAATTGCGCCTCTGAATATGGTGACATATAATCCACGTAGACGGAGGGCTGGTACTTAATTCTGTATTCCTCATGTTTATTTATCATATGTAGATTTGTTTTCTATTTTAAATGTTTGATTTCTAACCAGTTGTGTGTAATGCACAAAATACTGTCGCAGTTTCTAAACAACATTAAACTGGAAGGGTAGTCTTTCGTTTACCATGCTCTAATTGTTTTTATTTTCTAAGTAGTTAGTTGGTTAGTTAGCTGTTTCCCTTTCTGACTTTGTGCTTTACTCGACGTCAGCGACCTCCTGATGTTGAAATCTGATTTTTTTTTTTTTTTTTTTTACACAAGACTGAACAAGTTTTATGTCTTTAAAACGTTTAACATTTTACTGCCTTTGAAGAAGCTCATCTTTTTGTATTATATTTGCAATAAAAGTGAGAATAAAACATAAAAAGTATGCCTATGACTGCTTATTGACTACACATATGCCATGTGTATATACAGCTGAAGTCAGAGTTATTCACCCCCCTTTGAATTTTTCTTTCTTTTTTAAATTTCTCCCAAATGATGTTTAACAGAGCAAGGAAATTTTTACAGTATGTCTGATAATATTTTTTCTTCTGGAGAAAGTCTTATTTGTTTTATTTCGGCTAGAATAAAAGCAGTTTGAAATTTTTTAAACTCCATTTTAAGGTCAAAATTATAAGCCCCTTTAAGCAATTTATTTTTCCAATAGGATGGTTTGTTCTGTAGACTTAATAACTTTCCTAATTACCCTAACTTGCCTAGTTAACTTAATTAACTTAAGCCTTTAAATGTCACTTTAAGCTGTATAGAAGTGTCTTAAAGAATATCTAGTCAAATATTATTTACTGTCATCATGACAGATAAAATAAATCAGTTATTAGAGATGAGTTAATAAAACTATTATGATTAGAAATGTGCTGAAAAAAAATCTGCTCTCTGTTAAACAGAAATTGGGTGAAAAAAATAAACAGGGGGCTCATAATTCAGGGGGGCTAATAATTCTGACTATAACTGAATACACTACCTGACAAAAGTCCTGTCGCCTATCCAAGTTTTAGGAACAGCAAATAATAACAACCCAAGCTCATTCTGGAAACGTAGCCCCGCGGACGTTTCTGGAGACCGCGATTTACGTGGCCGGAGGTACGTAGGGCCGCGTTTAGTATTTTCGAGCGAACGCTGCGGGGTGGTGTGGCGCCGCTCCGCCCCTCCTCTTCGCGCTCGCCGGCCGACGGCTCGCCTCCGAGTGGAGGGCTTTCCCGATGCAACCAGTTTGTCCGCTTAGCTCACAGCGTTGCGGAGGCCCCGGAGGAGGAGGAGGAGGAGCCGGCCGCGGTGGTCGACAACCGGGATCGAGTCCGGGGAACAGCAGTTCCGGAAATCAGGTAAGACGAAAAACGGAATCCGAAAAATGAGGGCGAGAACCCGGCGGGATCCGAAAACGCGGTCGAAATCGAAAACCAGGGCTTTTGCTTTTTTTTTTTTTTTCTGGACGGCTTTTGCGAACCGTCGCCCGGGTTTAGGTAAGGAGGAGGAGGAAGAGGAGGGCGGCCGAGTCAGCCGATCCGGCGGCTGTTCGCGCGCGAACGGTGCGCGCTCCCGAGAGGCGCCCGAGACGCGAAAAAGTGCGCACAGCGGCCTCTCGCGGATCCGCGAAAACAAAAACCGCTCGAAAACGTACCTCCCGGGACGTAAATCGCGGTCTGCAGAAACGTCCGCGGGGCTACGTTTCCACAATGACCCCGGGTTGAATAATAACTGGACTTCTAGTTGATCATTTGGGATGAGAAATGGCTTATATGAAAGGCAAAGGCCTCTAGATGACGCTTATTTGACAACAATATGATCATGCCTTGATTAGGACAGTAAGGTCTGTCTTCACTTAGACAAAAATCTTGAGCAGAAATAATGTCCAGTATAGAATATAAAGTCCTGCTGCAGTGGAGACAGAATGAATATTGTGTCTGACTCCATCATGAGCTTGGAGGACTGCATCCATACATCTCTGACATGACTCACATCACTGATTAATAAAGTCATCTGGAATGGTGAGGAAAGCGTTCTTGCAGGACTCCCAGAGTTCATCTTTGGATTCATCTTCAACGCCTTCATCTTACCCCAGACAAGCTCAATAATGTTCATGTCTGGTGACAGGGCTGGCCAATCCTGGAGCAGCTTGACCTTCTTTGCTTTCAGGAGCTTTGATGTGGAGGCTGAAGTATGA